TTTCTTTTACACGACGAATGTTGTATAAAATAAGTCGTCTATTCTTCTCCATGACAATTTTTTGGTTCATTTTTCAGTGTAAAGACGTCGGTTTTTTTTTGTAAATGACGTTATTTATTATAACAACGACGGTGATTTACCCTAACCGCTATTTCCACGTCAATATTAATGTAAAAAACGAAGTGGCATTACTATTGCACGACGGTTATATAAATACATTGGACGTCGTATGATTTAATAACGTCATATTGTTAATGACGTTGTTTGTTATAACAACGACGGTGATTTCGTGTCGTGGTTTTACTTTGCAAAAGACGTCGATCGATTTTACGACGGTTTGAAAACCAAATTCACGACGGTGAATTCCCGTCGTCTTTTGCCTTTTTTGTAGTAGTGCAAGCATGCGCAAAAAGGCCAAAAACGCAAACGGCTTTATAAATTCACGCTCATTAACCTAGCCGACGTTATTCGATCCGATCACGGCTTATTATGGCGCAATAAAACTCAAGCCCAAGCACGATAAATAAACATGCAATGCCATCAAGCCATGCTACAAGCTCAAGTGGGCCCAAGCCACGTAATCATGCGGGGCTTGCTAAAAAGGTTGTGGTATGGACGGGTACGAGCACTCACAGGGCCCATTGAGGGACCAAGGAATGGAAGTTTTAGGCCACTTGGGAGCACTAAAACTCATGCCCATTCCCCGGGCCCAAATACATGGGTTAGCATGAGAGAGAGAAAAATGGGGACCAATGCCTTAGGAGAGCATCCCATAGGTCGCTGTAGCACTTAGGCAGACCCATGTTAGTTAGAAAGCCCAAAAACAAATAGGTCACTTCTAGCAGCTTGACGAAAACATGCGGGCCGCTGGAAAAGAAAACACCAATAACCCAATACCTATGAGCGAAGCCCAGCCCAGGTTCTTGCTAAAAATCTAGCGTCGTGTTCCAACCTTGACAAAACTCCATAATGGTCAACAAGAGGCCCTTGAAGGAACCAAAGGAAATTCATAAGTATAGAAGGAATATCCATTGGACAAACAACTCTACCCATTCCCTTTTTCCTCTGCGAGCTCTAGTTTGAAAACCAGGGAAGAAAGCAGGTGGCGCCTCACCCCCATGGGGAGGTTCAGCCGCATAAAACCTTGGAACCCCAAGAAACCATTGACTCAGGCGCTCTGGTTGAAGAGATTTCACAAGAAAGGGAGTAATTGGAAAAGAGCAAAGGAAAAGTGGGAATGGAGGATCAACGAAATTAGGGTTCCAAATGCCTATAAAAGAGAGCTTCCTCTATCCAGAAACACACACCATTCTAGAGCAAGACCAAGCTTTGTCAAGCGAACTGGAATTTACCCCATCTTTTATTTCCATCGTTTCTCTCCCTTTCTGAGATAGAAACTCTCCTAATTTTCCCTTCTTCCACTCTAAACCTTCTTTTCTGAAAGAAATTCATGCTTTGATCTCTCTCTCTCAAATTGATAAACTTGTGAAGACTTAGCTCCCATGCCACAAGCTCCTCAAGCTAAGTCACTAATAAATTTGATACGTTCTTCTGGTTGTTGGTGAAAAGAACCCAAACGTATTTTTCTTAGGCTTCAGCAAGTCTTTTAAAAATTCTTTTGGGAGTCTTGTTCTTGAACTCAGGCATCAGGAGGTTTTGTTTGTTTTCTTCTTACAGCAGCCCAAGCCCATTCGTCAGGCTGCTAGAATAAAAAGACCCCTACACTTGGTAACTGCTGCCTTTGCGTACAGCCAATCATTCAAAAAGGTCAAGAAATTGAAGTACGTATATCTGCATGACCTGTTGAGCAGAAGAGTGCCACAAACTACCCAAAATCCAACAGCAAACCCAAGCCCCATGCTGATGTAATATCCTTGCGTTATGAGCCCATCCTGGCCGTCTTGGTTCACCAACACAGGTTGTCCTGGACCTTTTTCCTCCTCAGGGCATGTCCTTGGGAGTGGTGCTCCCCAAAGCAGAGGATTTCCACCAAAAGCATAGTCAAAGCTTTGGAGTTGAGTGCCTATTGGAATTTTTCCAAACAAGTTGTTTTCTGACAAGTCCAACTTACCAAGACTAGCTATCCGAGAAAGACTTGTGGGAATTCTGCCATTTATCTGGTTTCTTGATAAATCAAAAGACTCTAACTCCTGCAAATTTCCAATGCTTGAAGGTATTTGACCTGTTAATTGGTTTCTCGATAGGTTTACAGAAATCAAACCAACAAGATAAGTGATTTCACTAGGAATCTCCCCAATCAACTTATTGCTTGAGAGATCAATACTCTTTAGAAGTCCTAGATTACTTTTAAATTTAGCTCTGAATCCTTTCCATGTTAAAGATGCTTCATCATCATAATGCCCTGAAATGTATCCTCCTAGATAATCAACTAAAAAGGAATGTTGGATAGTTTGACTTGAACTTCCTTTTTGAGTCAAAGTAGTCAAACTGTTGAGACATAGTCAAATTCGGGTGACTTGCCCCTAACCACTCAGGTATTGATCCTGGACAAATCCAAAAGTTGAATACGAGTGAGATGGCATAATTGTGGTGCGATGCTTCCATAGAAGTTATTAGATTGAAGGATAAGGATAGTCAAATTTGGGAGACTTGCCCCTAACCATTCAGGTATTGATCCCGATAATTTATTTTCCGCAACATTAAAAAGTGTCAAGTTTCTGCAATTCTTGAATTGTGAAGGCAACTCTCCCACAAATCTATTGTTATTTAGTCTTAGTGTCTCGATGCTAAACAAGTACCCCATTGTGGTAGGAATTTTTCCAAACGAAGAGTTATAGCTCAAATCAAGAAAGACTAATTTTTTAAAATGGATCCAGCAATCCGGAAGTTCTCTGAATATATGGTTGCTTGAGATATCAAGAAAAGTTAAATTACTATCCTTGGTTGTGCTAAAAAAAGAAGCTACTGCCACTGGAAAATTATTATTGGAGAGATCTAGAAGTAACACTTTTGATAGAGTTGAAGGGATTGGACCCTCCAATTGGTTCCAACTCACATTTAGCTGAGGTGGAAACTCCGCTCTCAAATTTCCAATTGTTCCTCTAATTTGATTCTGAGAGAGATCCATAAAGATTAATTTATGTGACAAATCCCAAAGCCAACTGGGAATGGTATCAATAATTCCATTATCAGAAATATCGATTCCAACTGGAAGGGAGGAACCCAATCAGAATGGAAGTTTAAAACTAGAGAGTTAGAGGATAAATCCAACTCCTTAAATTTGAAGAGTTTCGAGAAATGGATTTCTGAAATCACTCCTTCCGAAGAATTCCCACTAAAATCAATAATCTCCAACTTGGACATCTGTCCAATATTTTCAGGTATTCTTCCACTTAATTTATTGCCCTCCAGAAGCAAGTATTTCAATAATAAAAAGTTCGTGAGATTAGGCACTGAACCCATAATGCCATGATTCTCAGAGATATCCAAATCCTCTATATATTAATTATATTTTACTTAATGCTTAATTATATAATAAGGAGGGAAAAAAAACAGCCGGACGTTAACTACTATTAGTTGGGTGTTAGGGGTTTTTATTCTTTTTTAATTAGGAGTAAATTGGGTTTTTATTTTAGGATTATCTGTCAACTTTTAAATCCCTTAGATTAAATTTTAATGAGGTGGCATATGGAGAATAAAAGTAAAGCAGATCATAACAGAGAAAATCAGAGCAAGGGATCCAGATCCTATCAAATAAACCTTGAAGTTTCCTCATATCTTCCTAATGGATTCCAAAGTTCTATATTCTAGGCTAAGGTTTTAGCCATTTATTTGTCACGCTGCATCAGTTTAACAACACCCTATTGGAAAATACCACGAAACCTGGAGCTTAGTTAGTATATTGGAAGATACACATGTATTGTAATAAGTATAGCTCTAATATTTTAAATGAAACAGAGAAGACCTTACAATATTGTAAAACAATAAATGAAAACAACGACACCCGATAAAAATACCCATTAACTAAAGAAGAAGCATGGTATAACCACAATTCTGAAAGTAAATTAAGAGAGTAAACATAGGCATGTATTTTCCATATAGCCAAAAGGTCGTAAATTAGAAATTGAATCAATCAAACTAAAAGATAGCTACAAATTCAATGAGCTTGAAATCCATGCACTAGGCAGTTTGAGATATTTGCACATATAGACATCAATTATAGGGCTGAAGTTGTAGTATTGACTAGAATCATATTAAAGGCACCGAATTCAGGACAAGTTTGCTGATCAGGGACTTGATTAGTAGGCTTCCAACACATGCTGGTGTGGTGCTCTTCTGCTTTGGATACATTTCAATTTTGTTCCACGAAATCAATCTTCTTGGATGAAGCTTGTATCTTGGCTTCCAGTGAACCAATTAGTTTAAACAATTCGACCTGCGAAAACTCATCAATTTGATCATCCCATGTTGGGTACATTTTTTCAAACTTTCGATCCACGTCTTCTTTCTTGGAAGCGTTGTAAAAATCAGACAAATCGAAGTTTTGCTTTAAACCAGGGACATGAATATCCTTGGAAGCTTTATACTTGTTAAAAATGCGATTGAATTTAGTTGAATCTTGAGGCCACGTCTCTGATTGAATTGCCCTCCCCTTCTTTTGATCAGCTTCATAGATGATCAAGCAAACATCAATATCACAGAGTTTCGAAAGCTCGTCCGCCTTTTTATATATACTTTTCTTTCGCTTCCGAAAGGTCATCTTACGAGCAATCTCATTTGTTATAAGTTCTAAGCTTCTTCTAGCTCTAGGAGGCATTTTTTTATAACTCTGCAAACAAAAACAGTTTCAATAATAAATAAATAAAACGATAAATAAGTATATGAAAAATTTCGTACAGTACCCTAAAGGGTCCCTCAAATAAAATTATTTGAGAGATCCCTTAATAGAAGGGAACTATATATATATTATATAAATGGCAAAACGTGTTTTGCTAGCTACAACTGACATAAATAAGGTAGAATCATGAATTTTTTGGTGGGTGAGCTAGCTAAAAATTTTAGCTTAACGTCTAATTATTTTTTTATAAAAAAATCTTAACTTTGCATTTTGAAGTTCAAATTTATTAGCATCAACCGTCAGTGGCGGACCTATTAAGGCGCAAGGAGGTGCAGCTGCACCTCCCCTCGCCGGAAAAATCACTGTTGGTACTTCAAATTGCACCTTTGCTCAGTTGGTGGTTGTGAACTCCAGCAGGCCCATAACCTGTGTAGATTATGCTACTACACAGGGCCCCCAAAAATCAAGGGCCTCCAAAGAAAGAAGACAGGGCAAGGAAAACATTGAAATTTTGGAGTTGCAGAGCCACAATTGCGCAAGGAAGAAGACGACTGTGTGCTGATGTTACTTTTAGGTTTCTCTCTCATATTAAACGGCCCTGTTTATGACTTAGTTTGATTTTAAATTGAAACGGGGCGTTTTGTTACTTTTTTGGTACTTTTTAGTATAGTTTAATCCTCTTCAATTGCAACCAAATAAAAAACAATTTAAAAAAATGAGACGGTGGTGCTCTGCATCCCTACCTCTCATGCCACCTCATGTTATTTAGTTCTGATTGGGCTTTGACTCTAAAGCCTTATTATTATTATTATTATTATTATTTTAACGTCTTATTATTATTATTTTTTTCAGTTTTTCAAAAGACACATAATTTTAAGGAAAAAATTCAGATCTATTTGTGAATTGTGAATTGTTGTTTTTTTATTTATAAAAATAGGTCCTTAATATTTCTCATTGTATAAGGCCTCCAAAATGAATGGACTGGCAAAATAACTCAGCCAAAGTATGTTTGTTGCGTTGCGTAGTGCACATCTAGCCAAAATGACGTCTTTTATTCAAACAAGGATTACAAAAGGTTTTAAAAAAGAAGGAAATCAATTGGTTCTATTGCTAAATTTTTTATACCTTCTTTTTTTTTTTT